GCCTTCCTATATGATATCCTGTGTTGCCACAAGACTCTGCAGATTGTCCTCACCAAGAAGACGACCCTGGCCAGATGTACCTCATGGACTGTGGACTTCCCGGCCTCCGAAATTGTAAGAAATAAATTTCATATTCTTATAAATTACCCAGTTTCATATATTCTGTTAAAAGCATCAGAAAATGTATTAATACAGATAGAGTGGGAAGGAATCACAGAATGGAGTTTTTGAGCAGAAAGTACCTATACACATGGTGTAAAAATACATAGAGGGACCCAGAGCATTCAGCAAACAAAGACTTCAGTTTTTTTTAAGTATAGGCTAGGAGTTAGGCAACCAAAAGTGAAATATTTAGAAAAGTAGTCTACAAACATATTTTAAAAGAAATGGAAAGTCACTAAAGAACTTTCAACAGGAGACAGTGATGATTATATTTAGTATTTTTAGAGGCCTCATTTGGGTGGAAAATGGAGGATTTACTAGAGATAAGACAAGAAACGGAAAAATCAAAAACCTACTCGGACAGATGACACTGCCATTCACTAAGAGAAGGAAAAAGCAGGAGTAGATTTTGCAGTGCAAATGATGAGGTAAGCTTTGAATCACTTTAGGGTCTTACGAGACATTTAGAAGGAGATGGGAGCTTGAAACTCAAGAGAATATGCTGGAGTAAAGATTTGGGGATAACTGGAACGCAGGAAGTAAATAAAGTACTCACAAGTATGGACAACACTACGAAAGACTATACAGAATATGAACAGAATGGGACTCGGAATCATCTCCCTGCAATATTTAAGGGTAGATGGAAGAAGGAGCCTAAGGAAGAGATAAAAAGGAGTGGTCACAAACAGCAGAAACCCTTCAACCTGATTTTGGATTCAAAACTCTTTTAAGCCAAAGTTATAAGTGTTGATTTAATAACTTCTTCAAACAATTCTAAAACCAAGTCCAGTGTTCATTCTTCCAGATGGTTAATTTTATAAATTTCCATTAAGGTTATCATTTTTTTTAAGTTTCAAAATTGCAACACAGGATCACATTCTAGTATCTCCATTACCCCTTACTTTTACAGTTTTAACAATGCAGTACATAAGATTTCTGAACATTTCACATTTGCATTATACTACAAAGAAAGTTGCAAAATCAAGGCCAAAGAAAAGAGAGGTCTCTAGTTCAGCCTTACCCACTCTCAACAAGATTTGTAAGAGAATTAATAAGCTATGATGCGCTACAGCATCCTTAGTATGTAAAGAATTAACTTAGCTCCTATGTATGACCATCCTTGAGAGAAGTGAGAAAATAGTCACTAAATTTTCTGTAGGTCTTAACTCTGTGAACACAGGTTGGGAAAGGCTACTCAAGGTACATGGATTGAAGGGGAAATGAAAAAGTCATTTCTATTTGCTTCCGTCAGTTTTAATCAACCAATTTGCTATGGTCTGAATGTGCCACCCCGCCCGCCATTCATATGTTGAAATTTAATAGCCAAAATGATAGTATTAAGGATGGTGCTTTTAGGAACCAGGCACACCATGCCAGCACCTAGGGGCCCACCCAGAGACCCAAGTCATGGAGAAGGGGACTGGACCCCCCTCCCACAACCAGGTACACTACACCAGCACCTCAGGACCCACCCAGTGACCCAAAGCATGGAGCCAAGTAGTGGACCCCAGCATGGAGCCAGGGAGTGGACCCCTCTCCCACAACCAGGCACACTGCACCAGCGCCTCAGGGCCCACCCAAGGACACGAAGCATGGAGCCAGGGACCAGACACACCCCACAACCAGGCACAACGCTAGTGCCAAGGAGCATACCAAAAACATCACCTCCATGTGGATGACCCACCACAGCCACCACAATAACCATGGCATGGCTGCCATGAAAGCAGCTAGATGCCACAACCACCACACAGATGGTCTGCCAACCACTGGAGTGCACTGACACAAGGAGAGTCACCAGCAGAGATAAAGAAAAGAAAAGGATATCTCTCTCTCCACAAAGCCTATTTCAGAGTGACAGAAGAAGCATCTGCTCTATGATAATATTGGAGGAACAGATCACACCTCTCAGCATTGGACAGATGACTTAGGCAACAAATCAACAGAGTAACCATTATTCTTTCAGAAGGAGAGAAGAAATCTAGGGTGATTTGAGGGGGGAGAGGGAGATGGGGAGAGATTGGACAAGGGGCATAAAGAATAATTACGATTTGTAATGATATATATGCTAGTAATACTAATTCGATCAACAAATCTGAATGTTGAACCCCAAAAATATGTATAATCAATTTTGATTCAATAAAAAAAATAAATTAAGGATGGTGCTTTTAGGTGGTGATTCAGCTTTTAGCAGGCTCTGCCCTCATGAACAGGATTAGTGCCCTCATAAAAGAGATTGTAAAAGAGATTGAAGGGAGCTGCCTTGCTCTTCAGCCATGTAACAACGCAGCAAGAGTTCCCATCTATGAAGCAGACAGTAAGCCTTCACCAGACACCAAATCTGCTGGCACCTTAATCTTGGACTAATCAGCCTTAGAACTATAAGCAATAAATTTCAGTTGTTTATAAGTTATCCAGTCTAAGGTGTTTTTGTTATAGCAGCCCAAATGGACTAAGACAGAGTTTATTATTATTATAATATGGATAATAATAAAAAATAGGCTTTCTTCTTTCTTAACATCCTAAACAAATGAAAGAATATGATTGGCAAGGAGTTCTAGGTACTTGCTGGCCAAGCCCTACAGTTCTTACTCAATGACTGTTTGATTTTAATCAATGGTTAGAAGTTGCATAGTTAGCAGTGGAAGTATAGTATAAACTCACCGATAAATACCAACCCAATGAAAAGTAACAGTGAAAACAAAAAAAGCAGACAAAATAAATTCAAGACAGCCTAGGAACACTAAGCAGAGGAACAGAAAGTTGCATAAACTGTAATGGTACTAGGAGGACATGGTATCACAGCAAATTGAAACAAATGATGTTAAGAATAGTCCTAAACCATAAAGATTTAACTATAGTCTTTTAAGAAAGGAGTCCTTTTCCTACACACTTCAGCAAGAGGCTATCTATTGTTTGGAAAATATCTGAAATTTTAATATTTACATATGTTTACTTAAAATTTGAAAAAAATTAAAAAATAGACAAAATTTAGAGACTTATAACAAACTCTTACTCAATCTTCACCAGATTCAACAATGTTCAAGCTTTGCCATACGTGCTTCAGCTCTTCCATTTTTCTTTTTCGGAAGCACTTAAAAGTAAATTGTACATATCAAGTCAGTTTTACCCCTACATACTAAGGTATTCATTTTTTTAATGGGACATTGTTTTACCTAGCCACAATGTCATTATCAGTGTATATATTCTTAAGAAATCATTATAAATTCAATGTTTCATCACCTAGACTGTGCTAAAATCAGAAGTCACTGTATTTGTGATAATCTTTTTACCTTTGATTGTACTGAACAGGGTCAGTCCTGGTGTGATTTATTAACAGAAATGGGGCTGCTCCATCATGATAGTCTGAAAATGTAATAACTGCAGAATGCTCAGCCAAATTAACTTCTGCTATAATACCTCCAAGCTAAAAGAAAGGAAAGGAAAGGAATCTTTAATGTGATAATTTTCTCAGGAATATTGATTAATAATATTTAATAATAAAACTATTCATAACTTGATAACTTTTTTTTTTTTCGTGACCGGCAACGGATCGCAACCCTCAGTGTTGCACCCGTACCGGACCGGGACCGGCAATGGGATCGCAACCCTCGGTATTGCACCCGGCACCTCGCTCAGCCAGTGAGCGGCCGGTCTGTATGTGGGATCCGAACCCTCGGCGGGGATTGCACCCGGCACCTCGCTCAGCCAGTGAGCGGCCAGTCTGTATGTGGGATCCGAACCCTCGGCGGGAGCGCCGCCACGCTCCCAAGCGGTGCACTGTAGCAGTGCGCCACCGGGCCGGCCCGACTTGATAACTTTTTTTTGGAATGATTTGGAAAACAATTCAGGATTTTGTGTGCATTTCTGAGAAACCATGAATCTCAATTATTGTATACAATGGGTGGAACTACAGATGTAGTATATTTTAGTATTCCAGGCATTCCAACTAACTTTTTGTATAACAATGAAATTATTTTATGTCTCTGTTTCTTTTGGGTACCTTTTTCTTTTACAGAAAGAAATGTTTGTTCATTTTTGGTGAAAGGGAAAAAAACCACCGGAGGTAATTATTTGATACGAAAAAAATACTAGTAAATATATATTAGCTTTTCTAATGACACACACAAAAACAATCACTTACCTCATTATTCAGACGCAATAAAATGCAATTTTCCTGTTTGTTCAAATGTATCCCTTTGGGAGGATCTTTACTCCTTTCAACTTGAACAAGAAGTTTACTAGAAGCATCAACAGGCCAGAAGGGGATACACTAAAACATATGTTACAAATATTTATAAAAAGTAAACAGGTTTCATCATAAATACATCATTTTAATAAACCCAGAGTAGATTTAAAATAAACTTTAAAAAAACCTCTTTCGGGGCCAGCCCGGTGGCACACTGGATAGTGTGCCGCTTGGGAAGTGCGGCGGCGCTCCCGCCCGAGGGTTCGGATCCCACATACAGACCGGTTCCCGCTCACTGGCTGAGCGAGGCGCGGGAGCAACACCGAGGGTTGCAATCCCGTTGCCGGTCCCCGGTCCGGTACGGGGGCAACACTGAGGGTTGCGATCCGTTGCCGGACACGGAAAAAGACAAAAGACAAAAAAAAAAAAAAAAACCTCTTTCGACACTGCTCTGGTTATTGGGTTGCTGAGCTAAACAGTTGTAAACTGTCAACTAGAGATGGGCTGTCACTTATGTGCAGTGTGAATACAAGCAGCAATGGGTAGTAAGTTGAAGAGCTATTATAAGAGAGTGCTGGGAAAAAAAGAGACTTTAATATGGTCAAAATCTTACAGAAAATGGTCCAAAAAAATCAGTAAATAAGCTGAGCCAAGAACTGAGAAGCAGATGATCAGTTTAATATGAGGGTACATTGGGCTGGCCAATTAGCTCACTTGTTTAAGAGTGTGGCGCTGGTAACACCAAGGTCAAGGGTTTGGATCCCAGTAGCAGCTAGCTACCAGCAACAAACAAACAAACAAAACAAGGGTACATTCAATTACAAAAAATCAAAATCAGGTTGTGGGCATCATTTGGTAATGAAGCAGAAGTCAACGTACACACAAATGACAAGTCAGGACACATTAAGTCTAGGGTACTGGTCATCAAAAAAGGTAAAAAAGTAAAAGAAGCTTTCAAAGTTCAGAGTAGAAAAGAAGCTCAGAATCTTAAAAAACAACGTGGACATCAGTCATCTGGAGAGTGAAATAAAATGATAGGAAACAGTAAAGGCACCAGAAAGAAGACTGGACAACAGGAGCTGGAACAGAAGAGGAAAAAGAAAAAGAATGGAGAACCAGCCTTGCTGTAAACTATTAAGTCAACTCCATCATAAGCCCTGACCAGACTGGTCACTTCACATATTTCAAATGAGACTGTTCATGTGTGACACCTGATCATCACCATATGAACTGAGGACAATATAGCAGAACCTAGTTGTAAGAACTAAGTGTCTTAACTTGTTAAAGGCAATTTTATTTAACCACGAGAAGTAATTAAGGGGAACTAGATATGGGACATGGTTAAGGACATAAAAGGCTTAGAATGTTCTCTTTCTGGATTTCCTGCAACCTAGCAGGAACTTACTGGGGAGAGTCAAAACAGCAGTGATACTAATACAAGCATATTTCCCATGAGAGAAGACTAAAAATGTGTGTTCTAAACGTCCCCCAGTCTGCTATTTCCTGATAGCTCTGGCTTAATTCTATAACTTTTATGTTTAGTAATACACAACATGTTTTCTTCAAGAGTTATGTGCTGAACCTCCAGATATTTGAGAAAGTGCTAAAGTACCTGTCCTTTTTAGTGGGAAAATAGAGACAATTTACAAATGATCGTGAATATACGTCTTAAGGCAAGGCTGATCATTATGAGCCAAATTAGAATGTACAAATCTTAAACTAGCAAAAGAAAATTTGCCTTAAGCTAAAATTGAAAACAACAAAAAATAAAATAAATAATAAGTTGTTATGCATTTGTAATTGCAACTAATGTAAATATAAACTAACTGGTGAAGGACAGAGGTTTTTTTTTTAAAGAAGTTTTTAAAAGGATAAACAAGATCCAAAATGTCTGCAAGAGACACATAAATGAAGACATGCAAATGTTATGAATAGAAGTATGGAAAATGATACATCTAGGAAATATATAAAGTACAAGAAAGCTAGAGTTGCAAGCTTAGGATCTAGACATATAGAGAGCTCTAATCCAACAAACCAAGAACATGGACTTAATGAGTACATGTGGAACATTTACAAAAATAAATCATATATTCATTCATCAAATATGTATTGAGAACCTATTATGCTTAATCACTGTTCAAATCCCTCCAATAGCTCCCCACTTCATTCAGAGTAAAAGCTAAAGCTAACATCCTTGCAATGACTTACAAAGTTTTGCATGATTACCCTCCATGCAAAGGACTGGTATGCTTTTCCTTTACTACTCTTCCCTCTCCAGTAACCTTGGCCTCTTTTGCTATCCCCAAACATACCAAATACCCTCACACTTAGAGCCCCTACTCTGGTTGATACTTCTGTCTCTAATGCTCTTTCCTCAGATATATACACTGTTCAGAAGTTCAGCTTCTGGTCAAAAACCTATGTATAATTTTTCGGGCCAGACCATAGGCAATACAAAGGCTTTACTGGCAGGCCTCACACTGCAAAGCTGCCCTTCCCACACCAGACTTGGTGCACAGCCAGGGCATTGCAGTTTCAAGGACTCAAAAGCCTTCTCCCCAAAAGATTTCACGCATATCTGCATTCTTAGCCCAGGCACTCCATTTGGAGGTTCTTTATTAGGACCCTCTGGCAGAGATCTTCCTTGGGAGCCTCTGCAAGACCTCCTTATCAGGGGAGGAGGGGGAAGGAACCTTGAAGATACTTTTTCTCCACTTGACTCGGTCAGTGCTCAGTCCTTTCCACTCCTAGTCCCTCCCAGTTTCCCTCCTCCATCTCCCCCACTCCACAAAACTGCTGGAGCCTTTTGTTCAGGGTTCCCTCAATCCCCGTGTCTGTGCTGCTCCATCTGATCCCTGACCAATGCCATTTCATGGGAAAAATGAAGGCAGGTGGGAAGGGGTAGCTGGCACTTTCTCTGATTTAGCCTCTTGCTTAACTACTGCGGTAAGTTTTGACTGTTACTTTCATTTTGGCTTGTTTTCTTAATCAGCTACTCTGACACCTGGCAGCTTAGCCGAGCTTTTGACAGTTGCTAACTCTCTCATTTCCCCCAAGTCTTTGTTCAAATGTGACGTCAATGAGTCCTATCCTGACCACCTGACATAAAATTATAGCCCACCCCCTGCTCTCTAGAATTCTTAATTTCCCTTATCATTAGATGAATCACTTTTAAACACATTATATATTTTACTGATTTGGTTTTTCCTATGCACCCACTGAAATGTAAACTAGAAATAAAGAAATAAATTAAAAACGAAAAAAAAAGATATACAAAAATCACAATAATATTTTGAACTTTTTAAGAGAACAGAGCTGAGGTGCTGGGGGGGGGGAAGCGGGAGAGGGAGGGCGGAAAAGGAGGAATTGGTAAAGGGCCATGAAAATTGATTACATTGCATAATGATGAATATACTAATTATCCTGAATCAAACATCACATATTGCACACAGGTAATGATATTCAATGCTATACCCCACAGGTATGTACAATCGACTACATCCCAATAAAAAATAGAAATAAAAATAAAATAAAATATTTTTTTT